GAGAAAAGACATCAATGGTATCCCTGCAGCCAATCTCACAAGGTACAATACTGACCTTCCAGGCAAGATGTGCTCATCAGTGCAATCATGACATGAAGGGTTATAGGGGCAACCAACTGCTTTTGGATTGAATTTGAGACCTGCTTAAGGGAAAGAATTAAGGCTTGGTAGCACCAAACTAGTCAAAGGTCCAAAACTCCAAAGGTCACAGGCTCTAAAGAATCTACCACTGTTGTCTTGCTAAATGACATGTTGTCCAGCTGTCTTCTAAATATTAATGCTTATCTCTGTAACAGTGCTGACCTCAACCATGGCCAGGGACGCTTCTTTCTGTGGTGGTCTGCAGTTAATAACTGGTCAAATGCTGAGAATAAATATTTAGTGAGGGTTCAGACCTAAATGGAGCATGTCTATCAACCACCAACAACCCTCCCATGAAACCTCAGGGAACACTGGAGAAAACAGGTAGAAAGAATGTAAGAACTGGAGGATGGGGAGGAGCACTGTGAGATGCTATTTTCTGAACACGACATGGTTACGGAACTCAGGAATGTACTGGTGCTATGATCAGGTCGACACGATCAGTCAGCACTCCAACAGGCATCACTAAGTGGACTAGGTGGGTTATTGACAAAATAGGAGGACATGAAAGCAGATGGGGATGTGGTGGGAGCTCCTAGGAGGAATGAAAGCAGAGAACTAGGGCTGCATACAATCCAGATGCATTGCTCACATGTATAGGAACAAAGAAGAAATACACATTGGTGTTTTGCCTGCATGTGTGTCTGTGTGAGAGTGTCAGATTCCATTACTGGAGTTACAGACAGTGGTGAGCTGCCATGTGGGAGCTGGGAATCGAACCTGTGTCCTCTGGGAAAGCAGTCTGCACTCTCGACCACTGTCGACCACTGAGCATCTCGCTAGCCCTATTTTTTTATTTTTTGGTTTTTCGAGACAGGGTTTCTCTGTGGTTTTGGAGCCTGTCCTGGAACTAGCTCTTGTAGACCAGGCTGGTCTCGAACTCACAGAGATCCGCCTGCCTCTGCCTCCCGAGTACTGGGATTAAAGGCGTGCACCACCACCGCCCGGCCCTATTTTTTTTTTAAGGAAGAAAATCACTTAAGGAAGACGTGCTAATGTCAGCCTCTGGCCTCTGTATGCACATTCCTGAGTGAGCATCCACATACACATAAACACACACATACAGTTACACAAATAATAAATAAAAAGGAGAAAATTTTATGCTCGTGGACAGGAAGACTCAAACCTATCAAAATGTCAGTTTCTCCCAACTTGATCTCTAATTCGTTCAATCTCAGTCAAAAATCTCAGCAAGTCACTTTGTGGCTATTAGATTTAGGTGATTCCAATATTTACATAAAAAGACAAAAGACCCCCAATAGCACTCGGGAGGCAGAGGCAGGCGGATCTCTGTGAGTTCGAGACCAGCCTGGTCTACAAGAGCTAGTTCCAGGACAAGCTCCAAAACCACAGAGAAACTCTGTCTCAAAAAAACCAAAAAAAAAAAAAAAAAGACCCCCAATAGCCAAACTAACTACTAACGGAAAAGAACATAGCTTAGAGGACCTACACAAGCTGATGTCAAGGCTCACTCTAAAGCTACAGTAACCAACATGGCAATATTAATAAAAGAAATACACCAATGACAGGAATATAGAGCCCAGAAGTAGAGCTTCACACAAATAGTCTCTGAATAGGAGAAAAAAAAAACAAAGACAAATACTGTACTTTTCTCCCATATGTGAAACCTAAATTTAAAAAATTATTCATGTATGTGTATTTGTAGGTCATGAAATTAGAGAAGGGATCAGGAGGGGAGGAGGAGATCTTAACGGTGCCGGGAAATAGGGTAATGGAATACCTGTAATAGGAAAGCAGAAGGGGAAACTGATGGCAGAAGGGATCCAGCTGGAGGTGGAGAGGGCACAAGAAGAGCAGTGGGGAGGGTAAGAAGAGAACAAAGTATAATTGCATCATGATGGAATCTATTACTTTGAACACCAACCTCAACTCAAAGATCCACCTGCTTCTGCCTCTCAATGAAAGGCATGTGCCACCATTCCCAACTTTAAAAGATTCATTTTTTTAATATTTATTTATTTATTATGTATTATGTATACAAGACTCTGTCTGCATGTATGCCTGCAGGCCAGAAGAGGGCACCAGACCTCATTATAGATGGTTGTGAGCCACCATGTGGTTGCTGGAAATTGAACTCAGGACCTTTGAAAGAGCAGGCAATGCTCTTAACCGCTGAGCCATCTCTCCAGTCCCCTCATTTTTTTTTTTAAGGAGCAAAAGCAATAAAATCTTTCAAGCATTGGTGCTTGAATAACCTAGACATCCACGTGCGAAGAAAGGAAGGGGCAGAGAGGACACGAATAACAGCCCCTAACACTCTTAGTAGCAAGCAGTTCGGTGGATCACAGACCTAAATGTATAGTGCAGAACTTCTCCTATTTCACCAGGGGAACTAAATGAAGGCTACACAGCTCAGGACAGAACGTAATTCAAACCTAACTGTGCCATTCCAAAGCCCTATTTCCTCACCAAACTTTCTCTCTTCTTGACGGATCAGACCTAACCTTTATAAAGAAACACAAGCTTAGCATGAGGGCTGAATCCCCAGATTACAGGTTGGGGTAGGGAGACGGTACATTGGGGACCCCCAAAAATGGAAAAACAAAAGTCACTGCGTTAAGATTTGTGCTAAATGAAACTTCAGTGTTCTTACCACCAAAGGCGGGGGGGAGCAATTGCTAACTTTCATTCTAGTTATGTTTCATAGCAGAGGGGCCCTAGTCAGAGATCATTATGGGTGCCATGTACTTCTAATCAAACAAACCAAATATTGTCAAAGACATAATAAACTTCCTTGTAAGGATCTTGAAAATTATCCATTGATAATGAATGGATATAGCTCATGAATTTCATTGCATTGATGTTTTACCTGCATATATGTCTGTGTGAGGGTGTCAGATCCTCTGGAACTAGAGTTACAGACAGTTGTGAGCTGCATGTGGGTGCTGGGAACTGACGGGTCCTATGGAATAACAGTCAGTGCTCTCAACCGCTGAGCCCTCTCTCCGGCCCAAGAATTTCATTCTTTTAGAAGTATATGCTGGCTGAGTGGTGGTGTCAGCTGCCTTTAATCCCAGTGCTCAGGAGGCAGAGGCAGGTGGATCTCTGGAAACTCGAGGCCAGCCTGGACTACAGAGTGAGTTCCAGGACAGTCAGAACCACACAGAGAAACCCTGTCTCAAAAACAAACAAAACAGTATATGCTGGGTGCCTATTATGTGCAGGCAACTTTTCTAGGCATTGAGGATAAAAAGACGCGTAAAGCATTCTGGAGGCACAGGGAAGCAAGAAGATCCAGGAGTTTCAGACTAACACTGGCTTCAGATAGAATTTCAGACAGCCTGGGATCTATAGTGAGAGCCTTTCAAGACACGGGGTACAGGGCTACAGAGATCCACCGTACTGCACTCTAAGCTGTAAATCTGTGGCGCGCTGTACTGTGGAGGGCAGTGGGAGTCAAGCATGCAGCCTCCTGTTTTCTGATGTCGCGTTTTCAAAAAAGTAAAATTAAACAGGTAAATGACACAAAGACATATTTTATTTAACCCAACGTATCAAACATTATTTCAGCAGATATTGGAATATATGCACTATTACTATTAAGGGTCGAGAACTTGTCAGTGCGCAGTGTTCACTCAGAGCACCTCTCGGTTCAGACTGGTCACATGTCTAGCCCTCAGCAACCACATATGCGCTAGTGATAAAGGGTTGGAAAGCACAGGGCTAGGGAAACGTCAGTACAGTTAAGATTCTCCAGTCAAAATGTTGGTTTTTCCTCATTGGATGCCTTGAATTTCCTAGGTCCTTCTGATTCTCAAATCCAGGTTTATCCTGCCACAAGTTAAGAGAAGACAAAGAGCCTGTGCCTCATTTCAAACAGGGATCTGGCTGAACTAGGTCCAAAAAGCCTCGCTCAGCGTTCATTCTCCAGCTTGGTAAATGACCTTATAGTCTATCATCTCACTCTGGTCATTCATGTCTTATCAACATACTGAGCACCTCACACAGGTAATGTTAAAGAGTAAATTATTTCAAACACGCACCTTCCTCTCCACCCCAAGGCCACTTTGATATACTGGGTTCGCTTGCCTTAGCATCTCCCGTGACCAGTTTCTTTTTTCTTTCTTTCTTTTTTTCTTTTTTTGAGACAGGGTTTCTCTGTGGCTTTGGAGCCTGTCCTGGAACTAGCTCTGTAGACCAGGCTGGTCTCGAACTCACAGAGATCCACCTGCCTCTGCCTCCCCGAGTGCTGGGATTAAAGGCCCACCTCCCGTGACCAGTTTCAACATTAGCTACTAGGCTCTTCGTTCACAACATTCTTTCCCTACGAAATAAAGGCCAAACTCTTCCACACAAAATAGAACTTCGCTCCAGCATCTGCTCTTTATTTCTCTAACAAAGCCCAATTGTTTGCCGTTCCCAGTCTGAACAACTTCACTTACTTACGGTCTACCCTGGATACTTTTAGTTTTGTAAAATTAGCCGCCTCAAACTCACAAAGCCAACCAGAAGTTTAGCAGCAGTAGTACACTAAATGACACATAATCGGGGCCAGTGTCCCTGTCGTTCCTTCACAATTCCCAACTTCCTTTTTAAATTAAAGAAGCCTCTTTAATGCAGCAAAACTCATGTGGGCAGGAATAGAAAATAACGGTGGAAACACTGGCTCTTTCCTTCCTGGGCTCACCGCAATAATTTTTTCATTTACTATCTTTACTATCTAAGAATCTGAGACATTCTAGGAACTTCAGGTGCGCTACGCCCCACCACCGCCACCAAACCCCACAACGCCTCAGCTCAAACCCTCTAGGGCGGAACGGAACAGAGACACACGTGGCGGCCGGAGGGGGCGGGGTCCGAGGGCGCAGGTCCGGCTCGGCTACTGCGCCTGCGCGCTGCCTCCAGTTCAAGGACCCGTATTTAAAGAGACAGGCGTTCTAGTCACCGTGCGAGGCCCGCGCTTGTGGGCTCCTAGGCGGGCGGGCCGTGTGGAGCGTCGGAGCCTGAACAGCCGGGAAGGAAGGTGAGGGGCGGCGCGGCTGGCCGCGGGGCGCGGTGTGGGGAGGGATAAGACCGGGGCCTAGCGCGGCGTGGCTGGAGAGCCCGTGGCTCCTCCCCCGCCCGCCGCTCAGCCTGGGGGCACACCCTCCGTGACGTGGCGGCCCCCCAGGAGCCCACGGGAGGCCCGCGGCCCCTGAGACCCCAGGCGGGCACTGGGGAGGGCAGGATGCCACCCGCGCCCGAGTGGATGTCCCTAGGGGTCCGACCGCGGCTCCCAGGCAGAGCATGGAGGCAGATCGGCGAGCTGCTCTCCGCGGCCCCGGGGCTCCTGAGCCTCCCCGCGCGGTCTGCCCCGGTGGTTAATTGTCCCATCCCGGGCCGAGGGCTGCATGCCACCCACCATTATGTGAGGAAAGTTGAAGTCCTGCTCTCCCCTAGCTCCTCCTCGGCCCTGCCGTCCTTCACTCGCCTCTCTGATTCTTAAATGTGAGGCTTGGGTGACCCACTATGAGTCTCCCCAGTTAATGGACCTTCTCCCCCCACCCCACCCCCGTCCTACATTGTTAAATACACAAGTTTGGTATACATTCCCCAGGAATTCAGAACTCTATCTCCAGCCCGCCCTCGAATTCGTTGTGATTTTCCTAACCACCCCATGAAGTACTTCTAATCTTGGAGGATGTTTTCCTTTTGAGATGGATGGGCTTGCCGTTTAGCCCTGGCTAGACTGAAATTTACTAAGTAAGTCAGACTGTCTAGCTTCGAACGGACACCACAGTCCTTCTGCCTTCTGAGTGCTGAGATTACAAGCGAGAACCATCATAATTAACTGTTATAAAAATAAAACTAGGGCTGGGCGTGTTGGTACAACGCCTTTAATCCCTGCCCTTAGAATGCCAGCCTGCCCTACATAGTGACTTCCAGTACTACATAGAAAGTACCCCCAAAACGAAAAATAAACAAATATAAATTGAAGCGGGGCGTGGTGGCGCACGCCTTTAATCCCAACACTCAGGAGGAAGAGGCAGGCAAATCTATGATTTCAAGGCCAGCCTGGTCTACAGAACGAATTCCAGGAAAGCTAGGGCTGTTACACAGAGAAACCCTTCTTGAAAGGTGAAAGAAAGAGAGAGAGAGAAAGAAAGAAATTAGGCTTCTTGGCTCATACCTATAATCCCAGCTCTAGAGAGCTGGAGGCAGGATTGGCTGTTTCGGGATGGCCTTGTTTACATAGCAAGTTGAAGGAAACTGAACCACTTGGTATCTGCCGCCCACCCCATGGGTAAACTGGCTTCCTGTCCTTTCCCTTCCATAGTTCACCAGCTGTGCTGTGCTCTGTGTAGCACAGCAGTGAGAGAGTAAGCTTTCTGTTGACACAGTAGCAATTTTACTTCACAGCAGTGTGCGGACAAAAATAGTTTCTAGTATATTGGAAATTAAAACTATAAAGAAAGCCACTAATAGTTGGGCGGTGGTAGCGCTGCCTTTAATCCCAGCACTCGGAAGCAGGGACTGGCAGATGTCTGGTTTTGTTTTGTTTTGTTTTATTTTAATAACCAAGAACAATTACATCGTGTTTATGAAGTTTACCTGTGAAATATAACACGAGGTACCTTTAGAAAACAAGCCATTATAACAGATTTGGGATTTCAGAAGAAGGCCCTCCTTTGAGAGGCAACTCATCAGAGCCTATAATCAGATTGACTGCCTGGGTTCAAAGCCATGCTCAGCCATTTGTTAGCTGTGTGACCCTCAGCAAGTTACTTTGCTTCTCTGCTCCAATTCCATCTGTAAAATGTAACCCACAGTAGTACTTAATTCAAGTAGTAGTTGTTCTAAGAGTAAAATTCTTAGAAACAGAATAAGCAATTCCCTTGCTTAATTCAGCAACCTGAATCAGGGAAAGTTGAAATAACTGGAATGTAAGAGTCAAAGATAGTGATGGATAAATCAATCCAAGTAGAAGCAGTGATTATACCTAGTACTTCTTATAATTATTTAAGTGCCTTTTTTTGTTTGTAAGTTTTTTGAGGCAGGGTTTCTCTGTGTTTCTCACGTTTCTTACAGAGGTCTGTCTGCCTCCCAAATGCTCGGATTAAAGGCATGCGCCACCACCGCCCAGCTAGAATCTTGGTAATATTTAAAGGGCACCATTCATTACTAGTATCTCATATTGTTGATGTTGCATGCCCCTTTGGAAACTGAGTTTTCCTGTATTGGAACTCTGCTTCAGCCTAGGTGAATACATTGGGAAGTGCTTGATTAATCACGAACTCTGTCTGAGATTCTGGCCATTAAGAAATTGGAAGCCCGTCTTCATATCTTTGTGTTTATTTTCCACCCTTTCATACAGCTATATGACTTTGGCTTTCAAGATCCTCTTCCCGAGAAACCTTTGTGCCCTTGGCAGAAAAGAACTGTGCCTGTTCCCAGAACAGAATTACTGGTCTGCCATAAGACAATTCAGCCAGTGGTCGGAAACAGATCCTCTTCGTGGGTGCCGCCTCCTCCAGAGAAAAAAGTCTGTCCTATCTTTCCAGAGAGGGCATCTAAGACCACGTGCCACCCACCTTGTCTTCTTCCCAGGGTCGTATGTGGGACTCTGTACTAGCCCCTGTGAGATGGCGGAGCAGCGGTTCTGTGTGGACTATGCCAAGCGGGGTACAGCTGGCTGCAAGAAATGCAAGGAGAAGATTGTAAAAGGCGTATGCCGCATTGGCAAAGTGGTGCCCAATCCCTTCTCCGAGTCTGGGGGCGATATGAAAGAGTGGTACCATATTAAGTGCATGTTTGAAAAACTGGAGCGGGCGCGGGCTACCACAAAAAAAATCGAAGATCTCACAGAGCTGGAAGGCTGGGAAGAGCTGGAAGATAACGAAAAGGAACAGATAAGCCAGCACATTGCAGGTGGGTTGGAGAACCTGCTTTCTCAGCTTGCTGGTGCTGGTGCTAATAGAATAGGATGCAAGGAGACTAGAGTCTAGGAGATTTCTTTCTTTGTTCATCTTGCTTGGGCATAATTTCAAATTCACACAGTAGTTATAAGAATAAAAATAATACTAAGAGCACTCACATTCTCTGTACACAGATTTCCCTCTTGATACTAGTCAGTTTACTCTATCATTCCTGTCTGTGGGCTCACTCTACACATCAGGATTGTTTTTATTGAGCCATTCAGAAAACATTGTATCATCAGGCCCTGTAGATACTCTAGAGTGTACCTTAAAAATAGGATCTTCTCTTACATGATCATAGTTTACCTGTCAACCTCAGTAGATTTACCTTGATGCAATACTTTCTTATCTGTATACTGTTTTGTCAGTTGACTGAATATTATAATTTAGTAGTATAAATGTTATAATTTAGTAGTACCCATTGTAGGGTTCAGGTCTAGCATCAGATTAGGTACTGCATCTAATTGTCATGTTTATTTAGCCTCCTTTACTCTGCAACATTTCCAGAGTGTCTTTTTGGTTTTTGGTTTTGTTTTTAGATGTGTTCTTGCCATGCCATGTAACTTGGGCAGACCTCACACTTGGAGCAGTCTTCCCGCCTTGTCTCCCCAGGACTAAGAATATAGGCTTGTGTCACCAAGTCTGTCACTCTATGGTCTTTTAGATGTTGATATTTTTAAAGAATAAAAGACCCGCTACCACCATTTTAGCTGTCACCTTTCTATCTTTACAAACTTGTAGATTACTACTTTCCCCAGGGACTTAAAGTTCATTATGGTACTTAATTGTTCCATATTTGGCCAGCCTGCAGTCCCTTTAGGGAGGCTTCTATATCCTGTAAACCCTAGTTTATCTCGCACTCTCTCTCTCTGCAGCCTTGCTGTGTGGCCCTAGCTGACCTTAGAGTCTCAGTCGTTTCTGCACCAGCCTCTCAACTCCTGAAGTTGCACACAACTGCCAACCACACCTGGCACATCTTTTTCCTTGCGTTTTAGCTAGGTGAGGTGGCATAAGCCTGCAGTCCTAGGTACTCGGGGGTGAGTGTAAGGCCTGTGGGCCACGTTTTATGAGTACTTATGCATTAGGCATAAAAGGATGCTCTTGACTTCTATGTGTCCTCCCCTAGCTGTGGCAGTAGACGTTCCTCCAAGGATTCTGAATTCCCATTAGTGAAAAATAGTTTTGGAAACCAAAATCTGGATGCTGTATGTCTCATCATCTTGGGGTGTATTTGCTTCTAAGTCCTTGGAACAGACAGCTAGAAAGATATATGTGTGCATATACATAGAATCACATATATGCATATATCCACACACACATGTTTACTCCTCTATGTGGTTGCTGGGAATTGAACTTAGGACCTCTGGAAGAGCAGCCAGTGCTCTTAACCACTGAGCCGTCTCTCCAGCCTCCAGGCCTCTATTCTCAGCCTTTGTTACTGATTCTATCTCATTCAGGGGAAGGGAAATGCAGTCAACAGGAATTTTTCTACCAGTGCCAAACAGGCATGCTCTGGTTTCTTCTTTTTTTACTTGGTTGTTTCTATATATTGGGGTTATTCCACAAAGCAAGGTCCAAGTTCTATCTATCAAAATGTGATTACTGGGGCTGGAGAGACGACGGCTCAGCAGTTAAGAGCAAAGGTATTTCTTTCTGAGGACCTGAGTTTGATTCTCAGCACCCCCATGGCAGCTCATAATTATTTGTAACCTAATCCCGAGAGATCTAATACCCTTTTCTGGCTTCCCTGGGTACCAGGAATACACATGGTACCCAGACATACATACAGGCAAAACACCCATTCATACAAAAAAAATTTTTTTAAATAAATGATTATTGATTTCCCTCAAGTCTATACTTTAAGAAAATATTATATATTGGATAAGAGGTGGGGAATTTTGATGAAATTTCAAGCTACCAGTAGAGGTAAATTGTAGTGCAACACCTTCTCTACGCACTACAGTACGGTTTGTGAGTCAGGCAAGGGGCTGGAGATTGAAACACACACAGCCAAGAATGCTCTCTTTATTGTGGTCTAGGGCAGCTTATATAGGGTCTCCTTGACTAGTGGCCACGCCCTAACTCTCAGCTGCAAGCCCACTAGAAACCACTTCCCTGTCATCAGGAACTCCTGAGGGTCTTGGAGCAGCTGCAAGCATAGGAAAACAGGTTGTTTACTCCAGCAGACGGGGTTCAAGTCCCCAACAGTAAATGATCCCCAGATTACCTTTTTCCTCTCTCTGTCCAATACCCTTTTACCTTCTCCCAACACACAAAAAGACCAGCCAGCCTGGGGTCAGAGTACAGTGGAAACTTAGCAAGCAGAGAATTGAGAACTGTTGATAAAATCTCCAAAAGCTTCTTTGGTAGTCTTTCTCTGAAGGACATTTTTGTTCTTTGTGTGGGTCCTGTAGACCTATCTTCTAAGGCAGCTGGTACACCAAAGAAGAAAGCGGCTGTCCAGGCTAAGCTGACAACCACTGGCCAGGTGACATCCCCAGCAAAAGGTGCTTCGTTTGTCACCAGTACCAATCCCCGAAAATTTTCTGGATTTTCAGGTAAGATTGGGTTAAGGCTACTGGTAAGGCCCTCCCTCCTTTGTATGGAATCTTCTCTGGGGTTCTGGCTGAATGAGAATGCTGTGTTGCCGAGAGCCGGTAGCTGGCGTCTGTCTGGGCAGTTGAGCTGCAGCTGACTCTCAGTGCCCCACTCTGCAGCATTTCTTTGTGTGCTCAGTCTCTGGTGTAGCAGGAACAGTAGTTGGTTTCATAATTGCATTTGTCAATACCTCGTCCACTTAAAGTTATTACCTGGGTCCAAAAGATTTTTCTAACTTGCTCTTTCTTTATTGGTGTTTTGTTGTTGGTTGGTTGGTTTGGTTTTTCAAGACGGTTTCTTTGTGTAGCCCTGGCTGTCCTAGAACTCCCTCTGTAGACCAGGCTGACCCCGAACTGACAGAGATTCACCTTCCTCTGCCTCCTGAGTGCTGCGGTTTAAGGCGTGAACCACCACCACTTGGCTAGTTCTTCTTTTTTATGACAGAATTCTGAGAAGTTGTTTCCCCAAGCTTGCCTAAACTGGAAAGGAAGTGTGGGAGGATAGGTCACGCATAGAATTTTTCCTTGATTTCCCTTAACAGTCAGTTGTCCATATATTCCTATGGTAGAGATTGTGTGAGCAAGAAACTAGAAGGAAGATCTGAATGACAGGTTCCTGTTTTGTTGGGAGACAGTAGAGCCCATTAATTAAAGAAGGTGGACTTGGGACAGGCTCTGAATTCAAACTAGATCTCCAATCTCTTGTTTATGTCTTGGCAAGATAAACAAATAGTAATTTGTGATTATATACACACATATGTAAGTTGTTTCTGTTATATAACAAACTACTGTTCATGGACTGGAACCAGTGAAACTTTGCTAGAACCTATGCTGCAGATGGGAATTGAGAGGATCATTTATTGGCTATAGCAAGAGAAAGCATTGACTATAGCTTTTGTTCTTTCCTTAACCTGAGAAGTGCTTTTCTGTTACGTTCATTATGCTCATTTTATGAATGAAGTTCAGGCTCACAATGGAACTATTATTTCATTGTTGTGTTTGTCCCAATAGTGTGTTATTTACCCTATACCCTGTAGCCTGTTTCATTGTTTGAGATAAACAGTTCTTATGACTGACTCAGTTGAAGAAAATAATAAAATAAAACCCTTTGGACTTGAGTAGTTTGGAGGTTCAAAGAAGCCTAGATGTGAAGTCAGAAGAACTGAGGTTTGGTTCATGCTTGACAGCTTGGTGCTTTGAACAAATCTTCACCTGTTTGATCCTCTGTGGCTTTGTCTGTGAATTAAGACATTAGTCCTGTCATGAGGACTATGGCATATAATGTTACAAAAATTATGCTGGATCTGTAGGAGTTTTGCACACACACGGTTAATTTGTTCTGTTGAAGAGAGAGTCTTTGCTAGAGAAATAAATGGCTTACATGGTAAAGGCTAGGCTCACAACCCAGAAATAGAAGAGGATCTTCTGTCCAGGCTGTTCTGAAATTAAGATCCTCCTGTGTCAAACTCTCAGGTACTAAAAGTACAGGCATGTGCTGCTGTCTCTGGCAGTTTTTATTATTTGAGAACTCGGGTTTGTTTTTTTTTGTTGGTAGTAGACCAGGATAGGGATGCAGATAACACGCCCTGGTCTTGTGCGTGGAATTTAGAAGAGCCGAAAGGAATAGGGTGCTCTTGAACCCAGCTAAATACTGTGCTTTGGAAAAATCCCCTCCCCACATCAGATTTAGATTCCAGGTCAGATTTACAGTGTACAAAACCCAAACCAGAAGCTTTGGTAAACAGTTCCTTCCTATAAGAACTCTGCCTTGGCCTTGTAAGTGATCACAAAGAGGTGAGAAAGAATCACCGAGGATTCTCTCTCTCAAAATAAAATTGCCTTTTATTTTGACAATAAGAAAAGACAAACTGGAGTGGTGATTCCTGACTTTGTTGCTGGCACACTTGTCTTGGCTCCTTTACCAAGGTGGTCTTGAAAGCTATCTGCTCTTGGGCCTTGGTCTCATCAGTAAGAAGACAGTGAAACCTATAATCTGTCAGGTTTGCACAGCTCTGACAGCCCACGATGGCAATATTTCAAATTAGCATGTCCTTTAGTTTCTTCTCCCTTTTGCAGCCCAGCCTTTCTGGAGTCATTATTAGAATTGCTGAGATCCACCTGATGGCTGTGGCCTGAAAGCAGCCTCTGTTCCTATATGAGATGCTCATATAAACAGATGCTTCTAAGTCCAGTCTTCAAGCAGTGGTATTTTGGCCAATTTTACTTGCCTACCCTATGTATACTTGTGACGAGGGTGTAGTACATCTACCCCCAGTGACTCTTTGTGGGGATTAAATAAAACTATGTGTAAAGCCCCAGCAAAATTTTTATTTTCTTCTTTCTTGTTTGTGCTTCCCCAAAAGGAAAAATGGATCATCTGTGTTGTTTCTCTCTTCAGCAGCCAAAGCCAACAACTCTGAGCAAGGCCCCTCAAACCCTGCTCCTAAGACAAGTTTGTCTGCAAGTAAATGTGACCCTAAGCACAAAGACTGTCTACTGCGAGAGTTCCGGAAGCTGTGCGCCATGGTGGCCGAAAACCCTAGCTACAATACAAAGACCCAGATCATCCAGGACTTTTTGCAGAAAGGCTCTACAGGAGGTAGGGCCATGAGCATCCTGAGTATGTTTTCCCTCTGAAAAGCTTAGAGCCATGACCAGTTCTATGGGTATAATACACTGGTGTCTTGAAATTCTTGATAATCTTGGAATGGGATCCTGTAGCTGTAATTGTCACCAGACCCTGCATATTCTATAGCAGTTCTGATCAGGGTGCTTGGCCATTTTCTTCCTCTGCCCATATTTTGTCCTAAGGAGGCAGAAGAACCCATTTGACCAGTAGAGAAATTGTTCACTTGCATATGTGATTAGGTGAACCACATGCCCAGTGTAGAGTAGAATTGTCTGACCCTGTTTCTTTCATAGATCTAGCAAATTGTCACTCCGTATCTGTTACATCATCACAAAGTGAAAGTCAGGGCTTCACCCAGTGGGAGATCATGGGATAAAGGTGAGGCAGACAAAACCCACAGCCTAGCTTCTACTACTAGTGATAGATACAGGGAGCTGTGGGAAGCAGTCCCTGCTTTATTTTTTTTTTTTAATTTATTTAGGGCCTCACTGTGTATCCTTGACTGTCTAGGTACTTACTGTGTAGACCATACTGGCCTTCAACTCCCAGAGATCTGCGGGCTTCTGCCTCCTGAATGCTGGAATTAAAGCTGTGTCCACACCTGGCAGCTCCATTTTTTTATGGAATTTTCCTTCCTTTTGTTTTCAGATGGCTTCCACGGTGATGTGTACCTAACAGTGAAGCTGTTGCTGCCGGGAGTCATTAAGAGTGTTTACAACTTGAACGATAAGCAGATTGTGAAACTTTTTAGCCGCATTTTTAACTGCAACCCAGATGAGATGGCCCGGGATCTGGAACAGGTCAGAGTCGGGTGTAGGGAGGCCACAGCCCAGGTGGGACTCTGCCAGGATTTAAAAATGACTGAGAGCCAGGGGGCACCCACCTTTAATCCCAGCACTCGGGAGGCAGAGGCAGGCGGATCTCTGTGAGTTCGAGGCCAGCCTGGTCTGCAAGAGCTAGTTCCAGGACAGGCTCCAAAGCTGCAGAGAAACCCTGTCTCGAAAACCAAAATAACTGAGCACATCCTGGTGTAGGGAACTGAAACTTACTGAACAAGGTTCTGTTAGACTGTGGAAGCTGCCAGTGGACACGACTGTTCCTTTCATAAGTTTGATAATTGAAAGCATACCACTGCCAAGCCACAAAAGGCCTTATCTGAAAAGTCAGGACTCGAGACTTCTTTTTGTCTCTCCTGGGGCTATTCTGAATTCAGGTGCTTGCTTGCTTGCTTTCCCTCTTTCTATGTACTTCCCATTTGTCTTTGGCTTGTTCATGGCTCTAGCCTTGCTGCCATGGAAAGTTTCTATTCAAACGTCTACTATTGGAAAGACTGTGCCTCTAAGTTGAAATTCTTAACAGCAATCAGATTGGCTCTATCTTGGATTAGTGCTGTCTCTACTCAGCTAAAGCAAGTGGGTAGCCTTGTGTGGCTAGATGGGTCCTTCTAGGAACTGGCTAGGAGAGTTCCTGAGAACAATTCTGGGACAGAAGCTGTGGTAGAACTCTTGATTATCACTAGTCCTGAGCTCCCTGGGGTTGCAGCAGTGGCATTTTGGTTTTTGGAGACAGGGTGACGTGTCTGAGACGATCAGAGTCTTCTTTGAGCAGAGCAAGTCTTTCCCCCCAGCCGCCAAGAGCCTCCTCACCATCCAAGAAGTGGATGCCTTCCTCTTGCACCTCTCCAAGCTCACCAAAGAGGATGAGCAGCAGCAAGCCCTGCAGGACATTGCCTCCAGGTTGGGGAGCTGCCTCAAACCACACCCAATGACGGTGGGCTAGGGAGGTGGACTGCTCTGGGAGGGAAGGCTTGGAGATGAGAACTCTTCAGACATAAAGCTGAATATGCCTCATCTCTTTAGGTGTACAGCCAATGACCTTAAGTGCATCATCCGGTTGATCAAACATGATCTGAAGATGAACTCAGGTGCAAAACACGTGTAAGTACCATAGCTTCTCTGACAGTCTGCATTGCCAACTTCTTCGTTCCCTGCTGCTCTCAGGACTTGGGAGACCTGCTACAGATTTGAACCCTAATTGTTAATTTCCTCTGGGACCCTACTCCCTTCCACACCCATTTTCTCACATTTAAAGTGGAGCAGCTATCTTTAACACAAAGCCGCTACAAGTGAAAGTCTGGAACAGGCTTCTTGCCCATTCCAGCCCCATCCTCTGCCAAGGCTGCACCAAGTAAGGCACAGGGTCTCAAAACTCTGGGTGTTCTGTTTTATCTTTTCCTGTGCCACCTTTGATTCCCAACCTTTTGACTTTGTAACATCTACAAAATTCATACTCAAGAACTGTTTATTCAGGTTTCAAAAAAAAAATTAGAAAATAAATCATAAGTTTTTTTAAATAAATTTGACCACTTTGTGGTGGGGCACGTTTGTAACTACCTTTGACTCCATGCGGCTACTCCTGTAGGCTGGATACAACTTCAGGTTAAAAGGAGGGAACTTTAAGGCTACTTCCCCAGCATCTCTCCTGTCTGACAGACTGCTACCCGAAGCCATAGTGTCAGATGTAGAGGTTTGTCTCCTTGCTCCTGTCTGCCTTGGCAGGTTAGATGCTCTTGACCCCAATGCTTATGAAGCCTTCAAAGCCTCACGCAACCTGCAGGATGTGGTGGAGCGAGTCCTTCACAATGAGCAGGAGGTGGAGAAGGACCCAGGTCGGCGACGGGCTCTGAGCGTCCAGGCCTCACTGATGACTCCTGTGCAGCCCATGCTGGTGAGGAGCACTGCCTTGTCCCTATCACCCGTGTCTCTTTAAGTTGCTGGCATCTGAAAGGGTGAAAGGCAAGGGTTCTTCCCTGTAGGTTGCCTAGAGAAGAGTGGAGATGAGCAGAGCAGTGCTAGGCTAGGAAGTAAGGCTCAGAGGAAGGCAGTGTGGTCTAGTACAACCTTAGCACAGCCTCCAGCACTGCCACCAGCAAGCCCTAGCATCTGGGACGGGTCACCGGGCCTCCTTAGTGCTTTACTTTCCTTGTGGGAGTGGCGTCTGAGACTAAGTAGTTTAGCATCACACTTGAGACAGCATAGCCCCCAAGACTGTGACCTCCTGCAGGAGAGCTCAGAGCTGGCAACAGAGCCAGGCCTCGTGTGACAGGGAGAAGCAGCAGCTCAAGGAATAGAGCCTCACTCCAGTTCATAACTTGGGGTTCTGCACCTTTAGTGAGGATGGGCTGGCCCTTCTGGTCTTTATGTGTAGTAGAGTCAGCATCTGCTGCTCTGCCACTTGCTGTGAGTCCCCTTGTGCTTTCCAAGGGTATATAGCGATTTTTTTTTCTTTTTCTGGAACTATCTTAGAATACTAAACCCTTGAGTTAGGCTTTTATGTTTGGGATAGGGAAGAATTCTCCTGCTTCCAGAAATATAGGATAGTCAGTGCCAAAATAGTGTGGTCTCCTGCCAGGGACAGAACCACCTCCTTCACCTAGAGATGGGACTTTTCTGGCTTCCTTGGGAGTGCTTCCTAGAGTCCTTCCCACAGCCTTGTCTAAAGAATGGTGCTTTAGCACACGGGCTTGGGAGGAGACCGTGTATGCACAGTTGAGGCTGTTTAGTGGCTGCCTGACCTTAAGTGAGTGCATAACTTCCCAGAGTTCGGTTCTCTCCTGCAGCGTTTGCCATGTGAAGCATCACCAAAGATGAAATGATGTTGTGTTTTGTGGCCTGACAAGAACCACCAGAATGGTAGTTACTGTTTGGGTCTGGCTGGTGCCAGTATGTGAGTGTGTCTGTGTCTGAGTATCCTCTTGTTCTGTCGGTCTCAGATTATAGTCACCCTGCCAGCCTCACTGTCACTGGCCCTCTTCATTTCTACCCCACCATCTCTTACACTGGGATAGCAAGTATGTTTAGTAAGCCAGGTGCCTTGTAAGAGCCTTAATTATTGAGGATGAAAATCTTACTTCAGAAGACTTACTCTAAAATGGATAGCATTTATCTTTTCCAGAAAGCAGACTGTTAAGTCAACTCTGGAGGTAGATGAGCTATTTTTTTATTTGAGATAATCTTGGTATCAACTAATGATTTTATAATCACAATATAGCATTGCCCAGCCTTTTGCAATACCATCACCCCTTTAGCAGCAGTCTGTCCTAGCAACCCCAGCCCCAGGCTCTGCTAAGGAGCCCCAGTTAAAGGGATCCAGCATTTGCTTTCTCCATCCCAAGGCTGAGGCCTGCAAGTCCATCGAGTATGCAATGAAGAAGTGTCCCAATGGCATGTTCTCTGAGATCAAGTACGATGGTGAGCGAGTCCAGGTGCATAAGAAGGGGGACCACTTCAGCTACTTCAGCCGCAGTCTCAAGCCTGTCCTGCCTCACAAGGTAATTGCCTTCAGCCAGGACTCTCCCCTCCCTGCCTGTAAGAGCCACCAGGCCAGAACTGCAGGGCCTTTCCAGCTGTACTTCACAGAAGGGAATTTGTTTTTATCTGTAAATGAATGGAATTAATTCCTGGACTCTTCTAGTAATGAAAGGCTGCTCAGCTGGGACAGCCAAAGAGCTCCGACTTGGATTAGTGGGGCGGGAAAGCCTGGATGGTGCGGTGCAGACAGTGAGCTCTGTGCGAGTCATTGGTGTTTCTGTGTCTCCTGTGCTCCTTCTGGGCTAGATTAAGGTTCATGTACAAGGAACTGTTGGGCTGTCATTCGTTAGCTTGCTTAACAAGTATTTCTCAAATAGTATGCACTATTGTAGGTAATGGACATATAAAAGTACAAACAATGGGTGAAGTACTGACCTTCATAGGCTGATAGTTTGTTAAGTGCACAATATTATGGGGCTGTCTTTCTGCCCTACTCAGGATTGGTGGGAATTGAGAACCTTATTCCTCAGCCCTTCTCAGCTCCCAGGCCCAGTCTTTTGAGGTCTGTGGAAAAGAAACAGCTGGGTTTATGGCCCCAGTAGCTTGTGAGTAAATGGAATTCCTAGCTTTGCCACCCCCTTCTTTCCCAGTTCTGGCTTGGTTTCTCAGAGTCTATGGATTGCGGAATGTGTTGTACAGTCTAGTATGGACATGGTAGCTGGGCCACTTGTTTTATGTATTCAGCAAGAGCACTGAGCGGTAGTGTTGCATGGAGCTTTACGTGAGGCTCATCTGTTCCAGGGGCACTGAAACTGATGAGTACCTGCTGTGAGAAGGATGGTGTGAGACAGACTGTCTTGTGACCTTGGGACATGTGAACACAGCTTTCCAGAATACGTTTTCTTTACCTTTCTAAATATTATGGATTGAACCTAGGCTTACACAAGCTAGGCAAGGGCTGAATACTAAGCTATGTCCCCACTCTGGAAGGGCTGGGTTGGGGATAGAGGGGAGTAAGGATGGGTGGTCAGGTCTTTTCTCATCCCACTCCATATCCAAGATAGGGACTGTCTGTGTGCTGCTCTCAGCTGAGGAACTAGACCATTGTCGGGCCCTTTGGTATCCTTTGTCAAGAATACCTGGGGTTACAGTGGGACCTCTTCCACTGAGCAGTCAGAAATTAGGGCTTTGCCTAAGTTAGGAAAAATCCATTCCCAGGGCTCATACTCTGAAGTCAGCAGGAGCTTCAGAGCTCCCACGTAGAGAAGACCCTATTCTCATTCCTCACTGTTTCCAGGGCTTTGTTTCTCTCAGCCCTGCAACCTATGTGTTGCCCCATCCCAGTCCTTAGCCCGATAACAGCAATCTTCTGTAGTGGACACTGGTCTCTACCTGCCTGTTGTTCCTCTTTCCTCTCGTCCCATAGCCATCCACCTCCATGTCCTCCCGACAAACTCACTCTATTTCTTCCTTTTTCCTCCAAACCCATAGAACATGACTCCAAGTAGGCTGGCCATTCTCTGGGTCTAAGACAGAGGTAATAGAGCAGATAGTCTGGTCCTCTTTCAGGGAAGACTGACACAGCCAAGCTGTATATTTCACCCACTGCTTGGGCTTCCACATGTTGTCTCTAATATTTTGCCTGGGCTTTGATCTCTGTGGCTTGGTTTTAAGTCTTAACTGCCAAATCATCCTTGCCAAAGCTACCTTTCTACTTCCAGGTGGCCCACTTTAAGGACTACATCCCCAGAGCTTTTCCTGGGGGTGAGAGTATGATCTTGGACTCCGAGGTGCTCCTGATTGACAACAACACAGGCAAACCACTGCCGTTTGGGACTCTGGGAGTGCACAAGGTACACATTGAGAGTCCTGTGTACAAAATGTGTTGTTAATCTAAAAGGTAGTGAAGAGGGGATAAAGGCACGTAGGTCAGGGCCTGTTCCATTGTTTGTTCTTCCATTAAAAAGGAGTTGCTTATTAGGAACTGCCATAGAATTGAGTTGGTTCCAGTTCACTACGTTTTTCCATTACTGTAACAAAATACTGGAGGCCACTGTTCTATGAAGCGTAGTTCCAGAGGTTACCGTCAGGGAATACAGGGCCCATATCTTTAGATCACTGCTAGTACAGCACATCATGGCAAGGATATGTGACAGAGCAAAATCACTTACATCATGAACTGAGGGGCACAGAGAGGGGAAGTCCCACAATCCCTTTAAGAACATACCACTAATGACTTAAGACCTTCCCCTACCTTACCACCCTGGGGTCCAAGCTTTTAACACTTGGGCCTTTGGGAAACGTTAGAGATCTGAAATTTAGTACCATCTATGGATTATTCTATGGCCCAGGCCTGCACCAACAGACAGGACTGTTCACTGGGGGCTGCAGAAATGGACTGCTATTCCCCTGATCTCGTGCCCACATGTACCTACTACTCATTTCCCCTACAGAAAGCTGCCTTCCAGGATGCTAATGTCTGCCTGTTTGTTTTTGATTGTATCTACTTTAATGATGTCAGCTTGATGGACAGGTAAGTTAGCTAGTGTTTTGATGTTTTTTTTGTTTGTGTATGTGTTTGTTTGTGTTTTGTTTTCATATTTTGCAGTACTGGGGATGAAATCCAGGGCCTTACATGTATTAAGCATATGGTCTACCATTAGATTTTACTCCCTGGCTATCTTTTTTTTTTTTTCTTTGGGCGGGGTGGGGTGGGTGGTAGTTGCAAGACAGGGTTTCTCTGTGCAGCTTTGGAGCCCATCCTGGAACTCGCTCTGTAGACCAGGCTGGCCTTGAACTCAAAGAGATCTGCTATCTGCCTCCTGAGTGTTGGCATTAAAGGTGTGCACCAACACCACCCTGCCTCTGGCTACTATTTTAAAACCCAGAATCTCTCTGCACTGGGGATTTATCTGGTTGGGCCTTCCATTAGGAAAGAAATAGGGGTTGGACTAACATTTGTGCATTGTATCTATCAGCTTATAGGGGATGCCATGGTGAACTGACAGTCTTGAGTAAGCTGCATCCACAGGCTTGAACCTACATAGCTGATACCTGTCCTTCTTGCACTTAGGATGTCTCCTTAATACTGTTTCTATAGCTACTACATAAATGATTAAGAAAGAAAGTGGAAAGAATTGATGGGGCAGGGTCCCAAAGCTTGTACTAGCCACCAGCCTTGGGTTAGGATTAGACAGGCAGGGTGTGGGACCTAACCTGTGTCAGTCAAGCTGTTCACTTAGGCTAGCCAGCCTGGGGGTGAGGTTTAGACAGAGTAGAGCATTAGCACAAAAGTTGTAATGTTGAAAAACAAAAAACAAGGTTTCAGGTGGGACTAGGACTTATAGTCTGGAATGGAGGCAGGTGTTCTCTTGGCTCAATAGAGGAGAAAGCACTGTTATGAACCGGCTGTGAGCCACAGCTCACAGTGGTCCATCTTCAGTGTTGACGAGTTCTTGTAACCCTTGACAGCAGAACCGTTAATAGAGGAGCTTGGATCTATAGCTGTCCCTCTCCTGAAACATCAATTTTATCATTGGGCAATGTCCTGTATTAGAATTCCTCTAGGGGTGGGAGGGAGGCTCTTTTCCCTCAGCTCTGCTGTTTCCCTTAGGCCTCTTTGTGAGCGACGCAAGTTTCTTCATGACAACATGGTTGAAATCCGTAACCGGATTATGTTCTCAGAAATGAAGCAAGTCACAGTAAGTGAAATTCCTATCCTAGGTGGGATTTTAGAACAGAGCAGAGGACCCCATGGAGTATGAGAAGATGAGCCTCAGGCATACTTAATATGGAGTGCATATATTACATAATTTTCTTCACTCTGAAGGGCGGGGCATGAATCTTCCCAGGCAAGTGGCCTACTTCTCAAAGCCGCAGCAGCTCTTTAAGACCGTTTCCTTACATCTAAGTACGTTTCTACAAGTGTATAGAAATGAACACGGTGTCTGTTCTCACATTGTCTGCACATCTCTCTTGCTGTCCCTCAGAAAGCCTCAGACCTGGCTGACATGATAAACCGGGTGATCCGAGAGGGCTTAGAAGGGCTGGTGCTGAAGGATGTGAAGGTAAGATGGCTACACCCTTGTCTTTTCCTGCTGGAGATGACAGGGTCACTGGAGGTGGGAGAGAGTGAAAGCTGCATGGGAGTCTTTCCTACTTAACTGGGGCAGGCCGGTCCCGGATCTGAAAATGGCTTTGCATGTGCTATAGTCAGATAGACAGAGGTCTGGCTGGGCCACAGTGGTGAAAAGACAGGCCCTACCCTTCTGGAGTTTGCACTCTCTGATCTATTTTCTTGTGTCCCCTCAGGGTACATACGAGCCTGGGAAGCGGCACTGGCTAAAAGTTAAGAAAGATTATTTGAACGAGGGGGCCATGGCCGATACAGCTGATCTGGTGGTTCTTGGGGCCTTCTATGGGCAAGGGAGCAAAGGTCAGTGGTGTCTGATCCCCATGGTGGTACTCTATCAGAAGATTCACACTGGCCGCCTTGCTAGTTCGATCTGCTGGTCATGGATTGCTTGGTCCTGGGATCTGGGGCCTTGATCACATCAGGCAGTGGCATCTGGGAGCTACAGGCTGACACACAGAAATCAGTTAAGAGCTTATGCCCCCCAAGCCTTTCAACCTAAATTGATGACTAGCACCTACATAGTGAAAGGAGAGAACTGACTCCCACAAGTTGTCCTTTGACCTCCACACACTACACTGTAGTATGTTTAAATACTGGAGTATGATTGGCTACACACAAGTAGACATTCACAAAAAATAAATAACAAAATATGTTTTAATAAAAAGAGGAAAAATAAAAAGAAGTTGATCAAGAATACCTTCTGCTGTCCCAACGTAAGGGAGCTCAACATCAGCTGTTTCAAAAGCTCACTGACAGCTTCCTTCTCAGAAAACTCTTGTTTCCTGATTGGGGAGAAAGATGAGATCTGAGATCTTAAGGCAGTGTCATGTCAGGTTATGTCTGCTATATCTCAGGCACTGTCCAGTTCCCTGGAGCCCAGTAAATTGTGATTACTCTTGGCATGTTTTTTGTGTGGGGGTCGTGGGGTGGGGGGGAGAATGTTGTTTTTTTTTTGAGACAGGGTTTTTCTGTGTAACAACATTGGCTGCCCTGGAACTCTGTAGACCAGGCTGGCCTTGAATTCAGAGATCTGCTTACTACCTCTGCCTCCCAAGTGCTGGGATTCAAGGTGTGTCCCACCACTGTCCAGCTACTCTAATATTCTTGATGCTAAGGCCCTGGTCCTTGCCCATTCTAACCCATACTCAATTCATGTTCCCCTCCCAGGCGGCATGATGTCCATCTTCCTCATGGGCTGCTATGATCCTGACAGCCAGAAATGGTGCACTGTCACCAAATGTTCCGGAGGCCATGATGATGCCACACTTGCTCGACTGCAGAAGGAGCTAGACATGGTGAAGATCAGCAAGGTGAGGTCGGACCCTGGCCCCAACAGTCATCGCTCCCGAGACACAGGATGTGCTCTCAGGACTGAGGTCTACAGGTCTGGTTTTAATTCAGTAAGGAGCTTGCTTCTTGGCCATAGGAGCAGGATTAGGCTTCCAAATCTCAGAGATCCTTCCATGTGAATGGTGGCCTGTTCCCTGTGGGCCACAGCCTCTCTGGAGAGGAAGGATCACGTGGGGTGAGGAGTCATTTTTTTTTTTTTTTAAGCTAAGCCACATTCAGTTTCTTTGCCAAAGACTTAAACCTTGCTCCAGCATGACAGTAAGCCCAAACAGTGTCTTTTCTTCTTCAGGATCCCAGCAAGATACCCAGTTGGCTGAAGATCAACAAGATCTACTATCCTGACTTTATTGTTCCCGACCCAAAGGTATCAACTTGATGGTTTGTGGCCCCCACCCCAATAGTATGTAATTCTCCAGTGCCACAGAAGTTAGCCCAGGCTTGCTAAAGGTCCACCCAGGAAGGGACTAGGATATTCAGCCAAATGACAGACACAAAGCTAACCAGCCATCACTGAAGACTCTCCTTAGTAGAGGGGAAGCAAACTCCCATCCACTTGTCCAAGGACCTGTTGTAGAAGGACCTAGCCCAGGCAGGTTTCAAGGGGAGGCAGAACTGGCTCACATGCCTCCTGGGTACCTCTGTGCTTTTTTTCCCCGTTTGCCATTTTTCTGGCTGCTGAAGATTTCCTTCTTGGCCATAAATAATCTACCTGTTTCATTCCTGACAGAAAGCTGCTGTGTGGGAGATCACGGGAGCAGAATTCTCCAAATCTGAGGCTCACACTGCTGATGGGATCTCCATCCGATTTCCTCGCTGCACCCGAATTCGGGATGATAAGGACTGGAAATCTGCAACTAACCTCCCTCAACTCAAGGTGCCAGCTCCTTGGCTTTCTAAATGTCCCCCACCCCACTGTCTTGCCCTTAAAAAGAGTTTTGGGTTTCTGGCCTGTTCAGTCTTTTGGCTCGTTACCTTTGTTCCACAGGGACAAAACAAGGAGAGCAATTAAGAGTTGAAACTTCCAGCTCACCCTCCTCAGGTCCGCTGAAGGCCCCCTAGCTTCCCACAGCCTTTTTAGGAGTTGCCCCAGGCCACAGTCCTACTTCACTAAGAAATGAGGTTTAGGGGCTGGAGAGATGGTTCAATGGTTAAGAGCACTGGCTGCTCTTCCAGAGGACCCAGGATCCCCAGCATCCACACTATAGCTTACAACTGTCTTGTAACTCCAGTTCTAGGGAATCTAGTACCCTCTTCTAGGCTCTGTAGGCACCATTTACGTAGTACACAGACACACTACACATTTTTTAAACTAGGATTTAGGGAGAATGTAAAATCGCACACCTTTAAAATTTTGGCAGAGACAAAGTTTCCCTGAGTTCAAGGCCAGCCTGGTATATATGGTAAATTCCAGACCTGGCAGAGCTATACCATGAGACCCTGTCTCAAAAACAAATTGTTATTCCTCTGAGCCTGTAATCTCAGCACTGGAGAGGCTAAGACGGGAAGATCTTAAGTTTAAAGCCAGTCAAAAAAAAAAAAAAAAAAAATTGGGTGCCACAGGTCACTTTCACCACAGTTGCTCAGATAACAGGGCCCTACTTTATTCCCTAACTACGTGTGCCAGGCACCACTCACCCAGACCCAGGGAAGGAAGTGGCAGCACCTGACTTCCTCCCCACTTCTTAGGAACTGTACCAGCTGTCCAAAGAAAAGGCAGACTTCACCGTAGTGGCTGGAGATGAGGGGAGCTCCACTACTGGAGGTAGCAATGGTGAGAGTGAGGGCACTGCTGGGTCTGCTGTACCCCACAAGGCCCCCAAGACACCTCCCAGTAAGTCCTCTGCCAGTGGAAGGAAGACCGAACAGAAGCTGAATAACTCCAATAGCAGAGGTGGTAAGTAAGAGGGCTTGAGGTGATGAAGAAGGGTGTGGGTAGGAAGAGATGGTAGGGCAGACAGATGTCTGTGACTAGGTGTCCACTATAACAGACATTCAGTGCATTCCTGGCATGTGACTAGCCGTGGGCCAGAATCTGTTTTACCAAGCAGGCACCTCTATCTGCTCGTAACCTGAGTGACAGTACTCAGGAGAGCCAGTCTGACTTGGGAATGAGCCGCTTTGGAGCTGAGTGGTCTAGTGGTCTAGCTGATAGCCTTGCTCCCCCTTCTTTCATGGTCATAGCAGAAGTGCCTGACCCATCTCCTGACTCCCTGACTTCCAAGGCCATTAGCAGTTCCCTTTGTCCTCTTCCTTCTTGTGTTTGGTTTGGTTTTAGTTTTGTCATTTTTTTTTTTTAATTTCTTCTTTTTGGTTTTGTGATTTCTATATAGCCAGGTTTACACCAGGCTGGCCTTTGACTCACTGTGTGGCCCCAAATGACCCTGAACTTCTGAGCCTTCTGCCTCTATCTCCTTAGTGCTGGGATTATAGGCACGTCCCAGTTTGTGCAGTGCTAGGGATTGGACCTGGTGCCTTATACATGTTCGGCAAGTACCTAACTCCATACCATGACCTCTGCTGTCCTGCAGGCAACAAGGTGATTCCAAAGCCTTCCCCCATGAAACCAGGAGACAAGCTGACCACGAAGTCTTCTCCAGTGAAAGTGGGGGTGAAGAGGAAAGCTGCTGATGAGACCCAATGCCCTACAAAGGTGAGGGAAAGAACAGTGATGGGACAGGCCAGTTGGCTCAGGCCCTGGAGTTCCAAGCTCTTGTGTGTGAAGTTGAAAAGGTGTCTGTCCCTGTTGGTCTGGGGGAAGGCTACTCAAGTCCTTCCCTTCCTGTTTGGCAAGCGAGCAGTCCTTCTCCACCCTGTGCCCTTTTGTTGCCTTGCAGAGGCAGCGGGTCAGCCAGCAAAGAGGAAGGAGAGCCGGAGGCAGGAGATAGAGCCAGCCTAGCAGGAGAAGCTGCAGGGGCCCAACGAGCCGCCAGTGTCAAGTTACAGTTCACATTAAAAAACTAAGTCCAGTCTGGGTGTCGGGTGCAGCAGTGCCTTTGTGTCTCTCGAGCATACCCAGCAAGGAGAGGGAGACGGCCATGTCATAGAAAACCCAGCTAAGGAGTATATTTTCCCTTTAGTTGGTCCTTGGTCTGGCAACATCTGTTGAATACCTACTGAGATCAGCAACTAGCTAGTCTGGTGCCCTGGGTGGCTTCTGACCCAGAAAGTAAATGAAGAAACATGATCAACAGAGATTGCACCCCTGCCCAAGCATTAAGCACAGAAGGTGAAATCTCAGGGCCTAACTAAACCTACTTCTCATTAGAAACCATTTGAACTCATCCACACTGATGAGCAAGACTCCAAGGCTCCTTATCTAGGTAACTGCAGAGCAGACTACTTAATCTTTGGAAGGTATTTTACATTGGGTGGCTCTTGGAGAGATGCCCTTTTTCCCTATCTTGGCCTCAGATGTTGGAGCCCATCACTTTTCCCTTTTCTCCTAGTCAGGGACAGGAGAAAGTGTCAGACCTGGGTCAACCAGAGTGACTGGAGAAGATGGGTTAGCAACAGCCTTTCCTTCAGTCATCCATCTATGTCCTAATCCTAGACTCTATGCATCCCAGGCTGTCGTGTATTCTGGTGGGTAAAGTTGAAAGTGCGCCCAGGATAGGGCTCACTCTGCGTGGACTCTGTTTGCAGGTGCTGTTGGATGTCTTCACCGGGGTGCGGCTCTACTTGCCACCTTCCACACCAGACTTCAAGAGGCTCAAACGCTACTTTGTGGCATTCAACGGGGATCTGGTACAGGAATTTGACATGGCCTCAGCCACACATGTGCTGGGTAACAGAGAGAACAATACTGAGGCCCAGCTGGTCTCTCCAGAGTGGATCTGGTCATGTATCCGAAAACGGAGGCTGACAGCCCCCTGCTAGAACTTTATTCTTTCTCTTTGGGCTGTCCTTGCCTGCCCACTCTACCACAAGGCTCAGCCTGGATGGTAGGGGCTTCTTCGCCAAGCAGTGTACCTTCTTATACCCTCCAACTCTTCATGGTCCTTTCTGGATCAGGAGTTAGTTGCTGTGGGCACAAGCAATGCTCTTGCTAGTTTAACTAGATCTTTCAGATCTGGGTGCTAGCTTTGTCTTCTTGTTTAAAAAGAAGCCGACCTTAGTTGTTTGAGGTGCTGATAACCAACCTAAACCCTTATGCATGCTAGGCACAGTGTTGTGCCCTTGAACTACAATTTTATAAGTGAGAAATCTTAAGCCAGGCATGGTAGTGCATGAGGAGCCAGAAGTCAGAGGATCAGGAGTTCAAGGCTAGCCTTGAACAAAAAACAAACAAACAAACAAAAAAGCATCTTCCCCCCCCCCCAGTTCCACCTCCGTGACTAAGGAATGAAGGCTGAGCAGAATCTACTTCCTTTGTCTGCTCCTTTTTCACTTCCATGTGCATCTTAAAAATTGTATTTGAACTGTCCTCACACGCTTCCTGTATGTGGCAAAATCTTTATTTTGCCTGGTCCCTTTTGTCAGGATGAACCCTCATGTGAAAGAACAAAGTGGTCCCAGCTTGGAGGGAGAGGCTGTCATCTATAGGAAAGGTGGTCTCCTTGGAGGATCTGCCTCCTCAAAGTCTGGACTACTCTCAGGAGTACAGATCCACAGCCAGGAAAATCTACCCACCCTGCTTTCCACGGCTCACTAGCTCCTGTGCCACCTGTGGCAGATTGCTTGCAAAGATCATTTCTGTGTACAGCTGCAGAGAATCCTGTTTGCAACAGTGGAAATGTCCTAAGCCAGCCTCATCTGGTTGTCAAGCTCTTGAAATGTGGCACTAACACCCTCTAAAAAGACAAGTCACCAGTGACCATCACACACTTCTGAGCATCAATCAGTTCCGCAAAAGGAAGGGGCAGAGGCACTGCTCCTAAATCACTAGATGACTGTAACCTCAGATGCCTTATGTAACACAGGCACAGAACCTGGTACAGATGTTATGCAGGAGGAGGCCTGGCTTACCACCTTGCATGACGAAGTTCACACTTGGCTCTGGGCTTCTCTAGATACTGTAGTAGACTGGCTTCCAAGTCTATGCTGTGCCACCTCTGGAAGATCAGTTCTCTCCTATTACCAACTCAGCAGGCTTATCTGCTATCTCCTGTCAGCTAGGACACGATGACCAAACCTCTTAAACACCTGTGTGGGCCTCTAAGCTACAGACATACTACCCCAAGTATTCCTAATACCCTACTAGGAGGTTGCTTACTGGTCTGGCTTTGCCTTTCACCTACTATTTAAAATGTCCAGAGGGAAGACACAATGTAGATGCTCTGACAACTAGGGCAGAGTGGGTACAACTCAGTCTGCCGAGTCAGATACTTTTTAATCAGCCTTCAAATCAAAAGCCGCTTTTTGCTTTGAGTACTTACCTGCATAGAATCTCCAACTTCCTTGGACCAAGCAGCTAGGTAGAGCATTAAAGATAACTCTTCCCCACCACACAGGGCTGAAATTTCAGCTCCTTGTCCCTTGAATGCCTTACTATGTATTCACTCCAGTTCACTGGTGTTTGTATGTTTCTTCCAGTCTGACATAATTCTCTCTGCAGGGAGATTAGACTGTATGCACACCTTTGTATCTTTTCCTGTCTCTCCACCCAACCCTAAGTGCTATCACCCTAAACCTCCCCTGCTCTTTTGGCCTTGGTTTACATAGTGCCGGCTAATGACAGAGTGGCCGTCCTGGATGCTGAACAGGTCAGCCATTAGCAAGACTTCTCTCTTTAAGAGACAGGGTAGAATCCTGTCTCGTCCAGTTCTGCAGTGGGTGACACACTCTTCTCCCTTCCCCTCAGGCACCTGGTCAGAGACAGGGTAGAATCCTGTCTCGTCCAGTTCTGCAGTGGGTGACACACTCTTCTCCCTTCCCCTCAGGCACCTGGTCAGGTAGGCTAGTATAGGCCTATGTGTATTTTGCAGTCTGCTCTTTAGGCTGGGCCAACCTTTGAGCCATACTTGTCTGTCACAACTGTGTTCACTTAACTGGCTACCTAGCTGTCCTGAGATCCCATCCCACTTAGCTCTTGAAGACCCTTTCCCGATGGGACTGTAAATAATTCACATGGTGCTTCCATTTGCTCTTGAGAATCATCCTTACGCTAGCTCCACTTCTAGTCTGTCCCATAATTTCTCCCACACCCTTGCGATCGTAGGCAAGTCACAACACCAAGCAGGGTACCTTGACCAAGATCAGGTGGCCCAAACATTTCCATAAGTAGAATGGAGTCTCTGAGGAGCAACAGCTCTATGAATCTGGCCTGATACTTGCCTATATTCACTAGTACTTTGGGGCCTCAGGCATCATCCCCACACCAGATAGGACAGGTATCTGTATTTAAAATTTATTACAAAATTATAAAGCAGAGCTCTGTAACAAAAAATACACATTTGGGTTTACTTTTTAACATCCAGGTGAGAAAATCTTAATATAAGCGACTTGGAGCAACACATTCACATCCAAGAGATTTTTTTAAACAAATTTGTACAATATAGACCATTAATTCCTTTACAGCTTATTAGTTTAGAACTGGCTATTCCAACCTACAAACCAATCAGCTGTCTGTCTTTTAAAACTAAGTCTCAAGTGAAATCTTGGTGCAATCACAGCGAAGTCCACAGAATAGTTGGAAGGATTAGGTGTTTACATGTTAATTAAGACCAAGGATCCGTGATGAACAGAAAGGGGCTCAAGTACTTAAAACAAAACAAAACAAATCAGGTTTTCTACCTGGGGTGAATATTAACTGGAATAGAATCTTAGAATTCCAACTTTCATTTGGTGTAACAATAAAAAAGTTGTTTGACATCTGGATTTTTTCCCAAAAGATAAAAGATTTAAAAATAAGTTCTTTCTTCAAAACAAGTACCCTCAGCTCTGTTACTCAGGTTGCTAACAGGCCATCAGTATATTATTTCTGTTGCTGTCTAGGAGGTAGGGAGATAAGGCCTCAGAAGGGAGAGCAGTTGTAAGAAGGGGAGCCAGCTCTGAAGAATTGTTAGGTCTTACTGAGCTGCATAATCAGACCTGTTTCACAGTGCGTTCAGGAGCAGCAAAATCAGTGGGCTGTGCTAAACTGAAGACATTGTAAACTACAGTACTTACTAGGGAGGGAACGGGAATATTTGTGGAGGAGTCTCTTGATTTCTGACACCTACAAAGGCTTTGACCTGAAATCTGGCCATCTGGACTTAGAATGTAGAGGTAAAGTGGCTGCCTCCAACAACTACTTCATGGAACTATTTGATTCCCCTGAAAGGATTTAGAGGTTAATGATGGAAAGAAAGCCTACGTATTTCTAATAGCCCCCTTAGAGGTGCCCCTCTGCTTTCCAGGGTCATGACTGGTTCTTCCAGTCTCACTTAGCTGCACAGTGGAGGGTAGTGGTTTTATCCAGGAGGGTGTAGCAGGTACATCCTACATAGGAACACATAGCTCCTATGCCTGTTGAGCTGTTCCAGCAAACACCACTCGAACCTTTCAAGCTATGTCAGTGATGTAAAGACCCCTTGAGGCTCAAATCATGATTTAGAGAATGCTTTGTGCTGACCTGCCCAAAAGGCTGAGAAGCAACCATGGACATAGTCCAGCCTAATTCAGCACCTTCCAGTGCCTCATACACTGTCCTGTGTGTCTGCTCCCCAGGAACTTCATGAGCAGCGAGGTGAAAGAAGAGCAGGGTTCTTGGCCTAAGTTCCTAGGCCTTCATAAGCAAATGTAAAACCAAAAAAGAGTGGTTTCAGCCAGCTGAAGTGAGGATTAGAAGCCAAAGCAAACTGCCATGGCCTCTATTTCTTTCCTCGCAAGCCAAGGTTAAAGATGGTGCAGTCAAACCCAAAGAAAAGCAGCAGAGATGACCCACACACCAGCTCTTAGGGATTTCCCAGCAGTTTGGGGTCAGGTCAGGGGACTGATCATTTCCAACCCCAACACTAATAGAAGTGACTCAACTTAGAAACTTTTCTATAGTATTTAGACTTAATTTCTCACCAGAAATCAGTCTACCGATCCAAATTCTGACCTAGGAAATACTATTGGTCTGGTTAATGTATTTTTTGGTCCATAGAAACAAATGGATTTTAGGCAATGTAGTGGACTTAAAACACACAGAAATCAGAAATTTAAATCCAGATGTGCTGGGTGGGGAAAGGAACCATTTCCAGCAGTACTTGTGATTGATGAAACAGGAGTGGTGTATGGGATGTGTGAAATGTGTCTTAGGTTCTTGGGAAGGAAGGAAGACATGGTCTAAGTTCTGGAAAGTCCTCTTCATTGATTACCATCACCACACAATGATCAGAGAAGCAGGCATTCACTCATGTGATCTGAATCAGTTCCTACTGGCTTTGGGCTCTGCCACCTGAGAGGTACACTCCATGGCAAGACAGGTCTGCCAGGCACCTCTGCTTGTCTTGGTCTTAAGAACACTGCCAGTTTCTCAATAAACTGCCTTCGTGCATCAGACCAACCCTGAGCCTAGACACTATGGGCCATGTCCCATAAGGCACTGAAGAAACCAATGCTAGCCCTCAGGACCGGAAGACATGCACTGCTCGGATGACGTACTGCCGGCAGATAGGACATTCGTTCATGCGTTTGCCACACTTGGTACAGGTCACCATGTGGCCACACTCCAACAGAACGCAGTCAATGGGTGAGTCCATGCAAATCTTACACAGGTTCTCCTCCAGGCCAGAAGGCACTGCTCCCCCTGGACAAACAAGGCAGGAAGAAAAGATTATGTCTCAGTGTATGAGGGGCTATATGGAGCAAATCCTCAAATCCACACTTAGAGTGGATCCTCAAATAGAGTGCCTTAAAAAAACAAAACAACAAAAACTCCACAGTACCCAAACCACCTCCAGCTGCTCGTTGAGCCTCCACTCCTGCTAAGAAAAGAGGGGTTTGAGGGTATACTCTCAGATCAAAAACATCCAGGACTCAGAACTAAGGAATAATTCAAACTTTAAACTTAGGACAAGGAGGACAATACAATGAGTGAGCTGGGCTTAGTACCACATCTCCTGAGGCAGAATGTACAGAAAAGATAAAATTGGTTCAGGAAAGTTGGGATATAAACAGAACTGTAATGAATGACTGACTCATTAGGAATCATAAGTCTTATCTATAAACATAGCCCCAATTTAATAAAGCTGAGAATCATGTGGGAGCCCATGTGAAAAGACCTCCTGATAGAGAGGCATGGGCAGACATGCTGTTCCTTTTCTGTGCTATAATCATTGAATTTTATTCCTACCCAACTGCTTATCATACTTCATGATAATTCACTTATCTCCCACAGTAGACTAAAAGCTTCTTAATTCAACTTATTCAATCATAAGCTTAGCATTTGCTTTGTGCTCTGAGGTCAGATACTTATCTTTGAATTCCCAAAATATGAATCATATGGTATGTATTCTTTAAACATCTGGCAATGAACGTTCTGCCCAGGGAACGATAACTGCTCACAGTGACTAACAGCCTACCATGTGTCAGGCAGGGTCCTAAGAGCTTTCTGTATTAACCCAGTGGTGTTAAAGCGGGTTTTATAGATGAGACAACTTGGGCCAGAGTAGCTTGCCCAAGGACACAGGGCTGTTGAGTTAGCACACATTCAAATCAGAGGGGCTCCTGGACAAGGGCAGAGACTATTAAGACATCATTAACTGTCCAGTATTCAGTTCTCAATAAATACTAACTGGCTTATGCTAGTGGTGGACACAGCTACTAGTCTAGTTCAGTTGAGAAAAACCCTATCAGCAGCTCACCGATTTCCAGTGTGTCAAACTAGCCTAAACTAAGCAGCCATAAGACATACCAGCCAACTCTCCCACCAGGACTTCTCAGGTGGAATTCTACTTTATCTGTTGCTTCTAGACTTTTCTACTCTGGACTAATAGAAAAAGTCAGATCTTTGTTTATTGCTAGTTTAGTGATTCTGGAGTATTTTCATGTAGCTATTCAAATATAGCTGTGTATGAAATACACATCCATTCAGAGATCACTTCCCCCAGGAGGTGGCTGGCTGTGAGAGTTCACCCTAGTTAAAGCCCCTTGTAGCCCTAATACAGAGGTTAGAAAGGTACCCACATACCTAAAACAAGCTTGAGTCATTTACAGAATTTCAGTCACTCATACATCACTGAGGAGAGACAATAAATGCATCCGCTCAGTGGACAGCGTTCTCCAGGAAATGAGAAGAAAAAAGGATGGTGCCAAGTAGATTAATCTGATCTTGGTATTATCTGAGGTGGAGATGGGAGGAGGGGTAACCCAGATGGTGACAGGGACTAAGGAAAAAGCTCAACTCTGCCCATTCTGCACAGAAGACCGTTTTACTTAGGAAAATTCAGGATGTCTTCTGAAAAAATGTTTTAAAGTGCTCTGTAGGCTGAAACACTGCTGAGAATAGTTGTGGGAAGTTTGCACCCAAATTTCTCAAAGCTTTCATAAGTGTACAACACATGCGGCATCCCAGACTACCAGGGTTCTACAGTGTGCTCCAAGGATGCCCCAATGGTGCCCTTTAACACACAGGTGAGTGTTAAGGTAACCAGGTGGGGATATGCATTTGGAGCTCACAAGGCATTCACAGAACACCTCTGCTTTTCCTGAGCAGCTCTGACTACCATTCAAATAGGGCTCGCTTGGCTCACCACCCCTCTTTTCAGTTTTGCTGGCAGACACTAAAGTGGGCTAAGTGCAGTACTGTAATAAGCCTTTAATTTCAGCACTTGGAAAGCAGAGGCAGGTGGATCTCTGAGTTTGAGACCGGTCTGGTCTTCAAAGTTGAATTCTAGGGCAGCCAGAGCTACACAGATAGACACCATCTTAAAAACAAAACAAACAAACAAACACTCAAATAACCTCTCTGTCTTCCCAGACAGACTAACCATGGTACTCCTCACACAGGGCATCTGCTCCAAATTAGCTAAGTCCCTAGGCTGCTGTGGCCATCCTTTATAGTGGTGGGGCAAGGAGAATACCTGATTCTGTGCTTTCTGTAAACACATATGCCTACAATTCTTAGACTGGAAGCAACCAGCAGGATTGCAAACAGGAAAACAAAACTGCTAAGAGCCTTAGCCCATCCTTAACAAACAATCACGTACCGTTTTGGTTGTCATCACCAGACACTGGAAAGGAAAGGAAAAGATATGTGAATGCGAGTGTGACAGTACAAAGGCAGTCTCCCACCACCCTGCTGTCACTTCTCAACTCCGGGCAGCTCTGGGCCAAGAATGGGACCTGGCTGGAATCTGGAGAGGCAGGCAATCACCCACTCTGTGTACTGAGAACTCACATGGAGCCCCTGATGTTCTATCTGACAGTGACCACTTGTCAGATGAAAGGTCACTTCATACACAATATCCTTTAATATTGCCTCTGAAGCCATCGTTGAGGTAAAAATGAAGAATTAAGTATGTCAATGAGCCAAGGGTTCTGTCAAAGCTCCCACATGTTATTGCCAGGCATTGTGGTACATGCCTATCATCCCAGCACAAGAGGCAGAAGAAGGATCATGAGTTCCAGGCCAGTCTGAGCTATGTATCGGGAGCCTGTTTTTAAAAGCTACAGGGTGGTGATGGTGCACACCATTGATCTCAGCACTCAAGAGGCAGAGGAGGGTGGATCTCTGTGAGTTCGTTCTTTGTTCCTGATCTACAAAGCGAGTTCCAGGATAATCAGAACTCTTATACACAGAGAAACCCTGCCTCAAAAAACAAAACCAAAAACCACAAAGAGGAGGAGCAGCACCAGCACCACAGGACAGGGTAGTACACACTTTTAATCCCAAGCACTTGA